GCTTCTCCTCTCTTCAGGCTCTCTGCCTGAACTGCTTTGGTTTTCTTTCATTTATTCATTCATTCACTTCTACTAGAAACAATTACTGAGCCCCTCTAGCATGCCATATACTTTCTATAACATATAGAAACTTCCTCAACTTACAATGGTTTGCTTTATTTTTTTAACTTGGTGATGGCGCAAAAGTGATACCCATGCAATGGAAACCACACTTCATGTTTTGAATTTTGGTCTTCTCCCAGGCTAGCGATGTAAAACATCATTCTGTCTGGTGATGTGCAGCAGCAGCAGCAGCAGCAGCAGGACGAGATGCTTCCAGTCATTCGGGCAATCTCGAGGGTTAGCAACCAACACTCTACTGTATCCGTAAGATACTCAAAAACATCAGCATCTTACTATAAAATAGGCTTTGTGCTACATGGGTTGATTCAGTTATGGGCTAATGCAACTGCTCTCATTATGTAAAAGGTATATTAGGCTACGTGCTGTTTTGGGTAGGTTAGCTATAATAAATGCACTTATTAAATGCATTATGATATTTTCAACTTACAATGGGTTTGTATTGCTGTAACCTAGATATATGTGTGTATGTAAATATCTCTATGTCTACATGAGTAATAAGCCAGGTAAATTTCCTTCCCTTGTAGATTTCCTTGGTCTTCTTTCTCCAGGTTCCTTATTTCAGTTGTAACAAAAGAATAATGAAAAGGCCCTTTAGCTGTCATTAAGTTACAGCACTCTTGTACCAGCTGTGTGACTAATAGAAGGCATAAGAAGATTAAGCTCCCTGGATATAATTTTTTCCTTCTGTAAATAAAAATGTTCATTAAGATCAATCAATAAGAATTTCTCACATGGATTTTTTTTCAGGAGCTGCTACTTAATCTGACTTTTATTTTTGTGAACACATGCACACATGTGCGCGCACACACACACACACACACACAGACTTTATCCTAAACACATTGGCCAGACAAAGCTTGTTGAAATATTAAGTCAGCTCTCCTTCCTCTGCTCAAACCTTCCCGTGACTTTGTGCCCCTTTCAGCATAAAATTCAAAGTCCTCACTATGTCTTGGGAGTGCGACAGCAAGCAGAGACACCGAAACAAGAGTCAGGATTGAAGGCAGATTTATTTATGTCAAGAGGCACTGGCGGGGATCGTTCCTGGAAGCCCCGGCCCTGGTTTCAGGTGGTCTGGGGCTTATATGAGATAAGCAAGCAAGAAGTACAGGGGTAGCATGACTTGTCCACTAGCGATGGGTTTATACATAGTGCATCACAGTGACCAGCCATTTCCGAGACAGGAGCATCCAGAACTGGAACAGGAACCATTACTGGGACAACTAAGAAACCGCAGCGTCCTGGCAGGGGAGGGGCATTTTGTTATGGAGACAGTACTAGTCCCTAACAACTAGAAGTGCTGTAGCTCCCAAGGACTCTTCTAACCTCACTTCCGGGTACTGCGCCTTCTGCTTGCCAGGTCCGGGCGCACTGGTTTGCACACTGTTTCTTGAATACTCCAAGCATCCTCCCTTCTCCGGGCTTTTGAACCTGCCTTCCCCCCCCTCCCCCCCGCCGCTCCTGGAAACCTGCCGCGCCCTCTGCGAGGCTCACAGCCCTCCTCCCTCAGTCCCTTCATCAGCTGGCTCAGGGTTCCCTCCTCAGAGGGTGTCCTCTGACCTGATCCTCCCACAGGAAACGGCCTCTGCGTGATGCTCTCTGTCCTTACCCTGCTTTTTTCCCTTTCTCATCTTTATGATTGCCCAGCACAACATATATTTATACATTTTCTTCATCATCTTCTACATACTTTAGTAGAATAAGAATCTTTGCCTGTTTTGTTCCATGTTACATCCCTAGTGCCTAGAATAATTCCTGATACATAATATATGCTCAATAAATATGAATAAAAACGAATCTTTTCTAGTAGTCTCACTCTGCATCAAACTTTATTGATACTTAGTTGGATTCAAAGCTGGCCTTGGGGCCCTCTAAAGGACAGACCGAGGGCTGGAACCACACTGCGTAATAGGCTATGCAGTCAACTTACAGCAAGAAATCTGGTGGATGGACTGCTCGCTCCAGCCTATTCACCCCACACAGAAAAGACTTGTGTTTCATAGCATGATGATTTATAGTAAGATTAGACCTAAATGTCATTTCTTCTCTGACATTTCTTGCAAAGAGAAGAGTGCGCCTTTCTGCCTTTTTTTTTTTTTTTTACTTTAAGCCTAGAGTTTAGTCTTTTATCCACTGCAACCAGCCCTTATGAAGCAGACATAAAACAAGGACATGAATATCCAACTAAATCCAGTTATTCATTTTCAGTAAAGGCCAGGAAAATCTGGGTCTATTGTTTACTGGCACAAGAAATACATGCAGTATGAAGTAAAATGTATAGAGTAACAACCAGAAGGAACTTTTCTCACTGAGCCTCTAAAGCAATCACATGTTCCAAGATTTTAAAGTGCTATTTATCTGCAATTTTCATACCCCCAATGCTTCGGCCTTGCTCAGTTCACATGTGCTGCGTAAGTGAAGGTGTCCACTTCACGGTAGCAAGAAGTCTACTAGAAAACAGAATCCTGCCCTCCAGGAAGTAAGTATTCTCATCTCCTACACAGGCCCCTTGGAGCCACCCACACCCAAAACAACAACACAAGCATGAGCACCCAGCACCCCTTCAAGGAGAAAAGAGAAACTTTTAGACACTATATCCGTATCTGCTTACACAGGTACTTCCTAGCCAGATGAGGCCCACAGACAAAGCTACCAGATCACAGCTTATTTGAGGACCTCAGGGGCACCATAAAGACACACATACACATACACAGGCACAGACATACAGGTATACACTTCAAATTCACTTCAGAATTGTAGAAAACATAATCACAAATAAATTTATATAGACAGAAATATACATGCGGGTTTTGTCCAAGCATACGCAGGAATGTGCACACATACATAAACACATGCACAAGGCTCACAATATTGCCCATAAGGTGTGACGGCAGGTTAACATTTGATTACATTTTCTCTGTCAGTGGATATAATATATATTCAGAGTCATGTACATGCAGACTATCAGGACCATATAAATACCCAACTTCAAAGCTAAATGCTCTTCCCAGTCCTATGTAGAACATCACAGAAGTTGTGGCATGTGAGAACGAATGAGAGTCAGTGGCCCGGGGTATGACACTGTGTCACAGCACAGAGAACAAGGGGAAGTGAAATCCTGCCGGTAGACAGCTGGTAAACAAAGTTTTCCGGATGTCTTTGCTTAGGAAAAGACCACGTCACAGAGAGAGCTGCACTGTCAAGAGTCATCCTAGGAAGAACCAGTCCCCAAGCACTCCAAAGAGAGCTCCTGAAGCTATTGGGGAGGAGAAGGGGCTGTCTTCTCTCAGCATCCTTGGAAGGGACATTCCCCAGAGACCCAGTGGATTCAAATCAGCCAGAGAATCCTGCAGAGGTTATTAATCTACTAAAGTCCCATAGCTTGGAGAAAATCTGATTAACTCCACCTCCCCAGATGGGCTCTGGAGTGAAATGTATATCTGGTTTCTGAGACTCAAATAAGGTGTGAAAGTAGAGGAAAGGAGGAAGGAGAAAAAACGAGGAGAGGGAGAAGTAGGAGACATTAGTGAATTCTGCTTGGTGCTGCTGTTAACTTGAAGCAAGCCATACTCTGTGAGGGTCAGTTTCCACTGCACATGAAAGGTGAATGATACTCTCTTTATGCAGGTGGAACAGGGTGAATCTTCCTTCTCTCCCAAAAGGACATCAACCCGGCAGCTCCCTCTTTTCCCTGAAAATTATTTAAAGGATTTTTGAACTGTATTTTCCCACTACTGTGATTCTGGAAGAACACTTCTTCTACCTATCATACCTTTTATTTGAAAGCCTCTCCTTTCCTTCCGGGGTCAAGTATTATATATAACTTTAGAACTCCAAAAAATTCAAGGATGTGGTTCAACTCTTTCCTTTTTAAAATAATAAACGGCGCCCAAAAGCACGTCTGAACTGGGACCCAGAGTGTTTTGCTCACAAGCAACTGTTCTTTAAAGATCAAGGTAAGATTTTGAGAGACCCCAAGAGATTAGCTCCGTAGCCTCTCTGCCTTCCCCATGCAGGCGTGGAGAGGGGGGAGGAAGGGGGAGCGGGGGCGGATCGCGCCCAGCACCCCAAGCGTTAACCGCAACCGAAAGTCTACTCCGCGATTGGCCGAATACCGGGAGAAGATCTGGTTTTCGCAGTCGCAGACCAATGAACACCTCGAGTGGGAGGGTTTGAAGATACTAAGGAGTTTTCCCCCCTTTTTATCTCTTCGCTACCCCCTCCCACCCGCTACCCCCCTCCCGATTCTCTACGCCGCCAGTTTGTTAAATTAATGCAGTAAGAAAGTCTGAAGATCTGAGGGAGTCCTGGCCAAAGGAAGATGGGAGAGCTCAGAAAACCGAGATGCATCTGAAGCTTTGGTCTTCTGAGCCCCGAGGGGTAGCCATGAACCCCTGCAGCCCCTGAAACTTGCCTTGGGCTGCCTCTTGCCTGCAGCCCCCGAGCAATGGGACACCTTTCCTGCAGCGATCATAACTTATTCGGCGGGGAACAGAGAACAGGGATTGTAAGGCGACAGCAAACCGGAACGGAGGCAGGAGAACGAGATTCCCAGACTCGGTCGCGATGCGCCAGCCTGGCACACTCTCCGAGCTTTAACTGAAGGCAGCGCCGTCGCCCGCTTTCCCCTCGGCCCGGGCCCCCTCAGGCCAGCCCAGAGTCGTGCAGCCTCGCTCTACCAAGATGCTCTCCAAGCCTCACTGTCCGAGGCCAGCACTCTGATCTCCACAGAAGATTTTTTTCCTTGCATGGAGCTGGCCGTTTAAACAGAAAAACAGCGGTGTAAAAAAAAAAAAGAAGGAGAGGAAGAAGAAGAAAAAGAAAAAGAAAGAAAATATACCCACCCCAAACGCACCTCCCCGGCGCCGCAGGGAGCCACAGACACGCTGGAGTTTAACAAACAGCGGTACTCTTCGCGCTCCTGAAAAGCAGGGCTGGACGCTCTCCGTGGTGCTGAAACGCTTTGCGGCCGCCGCTGTCCGTGGTACCTACAGCCTCCGCGCTTCAGTTTCCCCTGGGGTCCTCCCTCCGCACCCCTATTCCCCGCGACTCCTTAACATCTGGATTATCTTTCCAATCGCGATCGCTGGTTTTGTAAGTGCCAATCTGAAACATTGTTGCCCCCATAACTCGTGGACAACAAAGCACAAGGACCTGAAAAATGTACAGCTTCAATACTCTTCGACTCTACCTTTGGGAGACCATTGTATTCTTCAGGTATGCAATTTTCTACTGACCACCTCGCTCTGATACAAATGGGGGGAAAGAGTACGGAGGCAGACTCTGCCCATGGTTCCCTCATTTGGGGGAGGGGGTGATGTATATACCGCTGCAATCCAGTCCTTCCATCCCCCGCCCCCCTTCACCCCCCTCCCACCCTCTGCCCGCAGGGTGTCTGGCTTGTGCGTGGAGGTCTGAGACAGGCGCTGCTCTGGCAGCTGTTTGCCTGTTTCTTGCGGTTTGTTTGTCTTTCTGCCTGCTGCCCCTGGCAGCACTAGCTCCCGGCCCCCCTGCCCATTAGCTCTCCCTGAGCTGAAGACTTTAAGGGGGATCTTTCAGAGTTACTCAGTTTAATTAGGACTGCATTCTCTCTAACCGCAGTGCCGAAAATCTCAGCCCTCCATCTGGGAGCCAAGTGACAACTAGCGGTGACGGGGAAGGTTGCACTCAAACCCGCTGGACACAAAACATATCATTTTCTCTCTTTTGTTGTTGTTTCCTTTTTCTGCGGGGGTGGAGGGAGAAAAATGGGTTTCTGAGGTTTGGTGCTAGGAAGCAATGGAGTTATGACCTCAGTTCATAAAGCCTTGAACTTGGGTGCAAAGTGGCTCTATTTAAAACAGATTCTGAGGAATATTCCCCCTTTTAAAACTTTGACTCCTTCCTTCCCACCACCCACCTTTCCAAACCCCACTCTGTCAGCAGCAGACCATAAACTCATGGGCAATTCTTTCTTGTTGTTCTTAATTTTTTTCCATCTCTGATTCAGTAAGTTTCCCCCATCCATTGTCTCCTAGGTTAAAATTTTCTGTCTTCGGGCTTGGCGTTCTTATGTTAGAACAAGTGAAAAGTGAAAAAAAAATCTCTTTAGGAAGCACTGAAATAGATAGGCCTTTATAAGTGGGTGCCCCATGCCATCTTCATAGATAGTCATAATAAATTCCATTCATATGAACTGAAAACAATCACTCCTCTTCCACGACCTGCAGGGATCATTAATCTTCCGTTAGATGCTTGCTTCTCATGTTCTACAATGGTACTGGCTTAAAAACATTTTAAAACTCCCACTTCAGTCCCTTTAAAAACTAAGTGAACCCCGAATGCCACCCTCTACCACCATTAAAACCAGCAAATAATTCTTGTTTTATTACCCTCTGTATGAATCATTAGTTTCGCTAATCTGTCAGCTGGTTTATGAAAATGAATGACACCTCGCCAAAAATTCTAAATCGCTATACGTGAGCTTCTCTTCCTTTCCTCCTCCTGAGATGAAGAAAAGCCCCTTCCTTCTGTGAGATTACCAGTGCTAAAACTTCTCATCTCTAGTGCGAGTAATCCTTTGACAGGCCACTATCCTGACCCAGCTCAGAATGTAAATAGTCAAGAAGTCAGATAGAATGGAAAAAGTATAACCATTCATGGGCTGGAGAAATTTACCTATTTTATGGGTGGGAAAGCAGGAAGTATTTTATTAATAATATCAGATTCTTTTTCCCCTTTATTCCTAGTAGAACTGTGAACTGCTGTGGAGAAGGGGAACTTGGTAATATTGATATGCAAATTGATTCTCTGTTTGTCTTACTAAAGACAGGACTGAAGTAGCGAGATTAAATAGCAAATTAATAGAACCAAGCACACCATTCCACCCGCATTCCTTTTTTCTGGATGAACAGGAGTCAGTGCTTTATTTTTCTTTCTCAAACATTGTCTTTCATAAAAGGGAGACTCAGTTTAGGTCTGCATGGTAATCATTCTGATAAGGCCCAGAACCCAGTGTGTTAATTCTTCAAGTAAACTGGTGGTGGCCTGTCAGGAAGTGTCACTTTGCTAAGCTTTCCCCTACATAGGTGAAGCAGCACATGTGTCACACTGGATGCAAGATGTGATCCCATATGTTTACAGAGAAAGAAGAGCATAACTCAAGGGAGCTAGAAAGGTGGTGGCACCACTGTACCTCCAGGCCCAGCAGCAGCTACCTTGTTTGAGGGGTGCTTATTTCTGAAACATAAAATAAGAACTAAACTATGGACACGCTCTTAGCAATTGTTGAGAGAGATGGAAAAAAGTCACAAGAATGTAAATGGAGTAGATTGTTTTTGTTCAGCTGGTATTTTCATTTCTAATTCACTTTTAAATTTTTAGATGAAAATACAGAAGCATTAAGGTCTAGGAACTTAATAGAATGTGGGGTAAATAAAGGCTGACCCTTCCTTATCAGAGTCCATGTAAATAACTCCTTCATCCTCGAATGGACAGGCACGGCTTTAGGGATGAGCCAATCCAATCATCTCAGGCACCCAGGTACTCCTTAGATTAAATGACGTCAGTTGCTCACCTTACTGAGAAAATATGGAGGCTGCAAAAGCTCTTGGTTACAGAGGTGCTGCTGCATTGGCATGGAACCAGAGAAACGGCAGTAACAACAGTGACACAAACAAAATATCAATAGAAATGAGTGAGGCCAAAATCTCACAGATATCAAATGCAGAGAATAAATAAGGGCCTTAGAAAAGGAGGCTAGCGGTCCTAGGAGGCCACCAGCATTGTGCAGTGTCCTCACAAGTAAAAGAGATAATATGGCTTAAGTTTCTGCTCCAATATTTCAGAAGCCTGGGGTTCTAAAATTCTTATGTCACATCCAAAGATTCAATAACTTAAGTTTTATTTCATTTTAGGGATGGAGCCTTATATCAAGGCAGACCAAAAATAATAGACATACTTTTTTCTAATAATGGAATCACATTAATTTCAAACTGCCTTTTAAGATGCCAAAGGGAACTAACTTGACTTCAATCCCCTGATCCTTTGCAGAGGCTAGGACAGACCCAGAAGGACTACAGCATCCTCTTGCCTTCTTGGAACATAAGAGTCCCACCAGGTGTAAACCGTGCTGCTCGGCCCCTGTGCTTGTGGCTTCTGGGGCGAGTTCTTTGTTCCAAGGCTGCCCTGTGCCTCACAGGATAACAGGCAGCATCAATGGGCCCAGGAGCGTGCCTTTGCTGCCCTCCTCCCCCAGTCACGACAACACAGAAAGCCTCCAGACATTGAAGATAGCTGTGGGGAGCAAGGGAGGGGAACAAAATCATGCGAACTTTGGAATCACCCTATAAAACGACCAAAATTTTAATGAGATGCTCTGATGTATTAACTGTAATGAGGAAGACTCACTTTCTTTAGAAAATTCCCCTTTTGAACTGGAAAAGCGCTTCAGTGAAATCAAAAGGGACCTAGCTTGGGCCCTCAGGGACATTTGGGGAATTTACTCTTGAGGACGCCTTATGAAAGAGGTTGCAACAACACGGGGCAGTGAAGAGCACAGGCTGGCTGTGATTCCAGCAGCCTTGCTTCTAGAGTCAGAAGGGGGTAAAGTCAGGGCCGACCCGTGGGTGGCTGTCCCAAAAGATGGCCCACATCTGCATCCTGGCCCAGCAGACGAGTGTTTGCGCAGGGCGTTGTACTGAGCATGGCTCTGACTCTCCTGTGAGAGGTCATCAGAATCTTGTGGGGAAGATGCTCCTATCCATGGTAGGCTCAGGAAGAATATGGCAAGTACGTCGTTGCAGACATGGTGAAATCATAATAATAAGTAAAGCTCCCCTGCCGAAAGGTGACTGGGCTTGCCTTGAAGGGCCCCTTCTGGCTTCCTGACCTCGACGGTGGCCAGAGCAGCAGGCGACCACCTGATAGGCTCTTCCAGAAAGCGCAGCACTTCACACTGGCTCTTACCTGCTGCATATTGGGCACTGCGGAAAATATCTAGGAGTTTCTGAAAGAGGCCAGAGAGGGACTTTTTCCTAAGGAAAGAAGTGCAGCAGGCAAGTCTGCATCAGAGCCACTCAAAATATCAATCAGTTCACCCTCTTTGGGGGCTTAGGAACCTTAAGAGGAAATAAAGAAAATGACAGATTTTTGTTCCCAAGTGACAATATAGACAGGGAACCAAGGCTGGTAAATGGGGTTATGAATCAGCATATAACATCTGCACATTTGCAAAACTGGTAATGACCTCTCAGGGACATTTAGGGAATTTCCTTTTGAGGCTGCCTTATGAAAGAGCTTGCGGCCAGGCAGCACAGTGGAGAGCGCAGGCTGGCTGTGAGGTGAGAGCCCCCGCTTCCCCAGGCAGCTCCGCTCCCACCCTACAGCACGGCCGAAGCAAGTCTCCTTCACCGTGTGTATGCAGTTTTCAACTCAGATGACCGGATCTAAGCCTTGTAAGTTCCCTCCAGCCTCTGCGGCACTCTTGATCAAGGGCAGGGACCCACAGAGGCTTGGGTGAGCTGGCACCAGCGGTGGCTGCCTCCACTTCTCCCCCAGCACGCACTTATCACGTGCTGAGTCCCAGCCAACGCCAGGCTCCATGCGGGGATGGATGTCGTGATCGGGATCCCTGCAGGAAAGGGAGACACGGCCTTTTCCTTCAATGGCGCATTAACGACCCTTTTCCCTTGCTCCAGGGCCTGCGGAGGGCCCTTACAGCAGCCAGTGTGCACATTTTTGTACCGCGCCACATTGATGTGAGCATCATTAACTTTATTTCTTTCATCAGCTGGCAAAAGCCAGAATGATTTTGTAGATGGATGGCACTGTGCTTTTCTGCAGGCTTTAAAGTGCGCTGTAGGCAAAGAAGCCTTGGCCCAAACAGACCTAGGATCCAGAGCTTAACTACTGGCGTTACCCTTATAGGCTTCCGTGGTCTTCCTGGCCCTGGCTCTCTCCACCTGTAAAGTGAAAGGATCCCACCAGTTACTCTCTAAAATCATGTTTAGCTTGCCATTTCAGGGTTATCTTCTTCCAATTTCTTTTCCATAAAGCAGTTTTTGCAACAACGATTGCGACAGATTTTAATTATCACAAAAAAAAAAAAAAAAAAAAACAGGTACACCCAGGCTTCAGAAGCTGAAAGACTTAAAGTCCTCACTAAACCACTCAGACTTGGGAGAGCAACGCTGCCCCCTGGGCATGGCTGTGGACGGATACCACAAGCATGTCAGTGT